GTGCTCGACTTCGCGCGCAGATCGTTGGACTACCAAAGCGGGGGTGCCATCCCCTCCGCAGAGGATCAAAATTGTGATGGCATGTCTTCGGATTATCCTCCGGGATGTTTCCCAGACCGTCGCCAATAGCCCATTGTGCAGCTCTAGTGCCACGTAAATTAACAATAACAATAATAATAACTTTCTATTTTCATTTCATTTCTGAAGGGATTTACTAATTCCAACACTAGAAGGCAGCTCTGCATTAAAATACACTCCACTAAAGGCTCTGTCAGTAGTTTAGAATTGTAAAATTAAATTATCAAATTAATTATTAATAAGTAATTAACTAAGTTAATACATACTTCTAAATCGAGTTGAAAGTTTATTAACCTTAAAAAAAATATAATTTATTATCCATTTTTTATATTTTAGTATATTGTTATATTCTAAATCAGACCTAGTACAACTAAACACTCACCAAAAAAAGATGGTAGTAAATTTTTTTTAAACGCCAATAATAAGATAAACCACAAAAATAAGGCAAACCTGAAAACCGGTTTTTCGTTGCCATCGGGAAGATAGGACCTTCACTTCCTCTTGCGGGTTCCTCCTATCTACGGCACTACAAGAGCGCGTATTCAAATCCACAAAATACTATTGCCAGATTTAAAAAAGAAGTTAATATCTACTATGAAAGCTATAAGCTAATAATGCATGTGAGGTTAATAATGCCAACGTATTTATCCGTTTTTTGAACGTCGCTTGTTTTTATTGTTATCTTATCTTATCTAAAATTCTGATGCAATAAGTTGTTCATATGTTTCAGTTTGATTTAGTTTGATAAAATCTATTTTAATTTAGCATTTCGTAAACAAAGGAAGGAAGCTTTATCAGTTGTAGAACATTAAAAAGTATTTTTTACATTTTCTTTAGTCGTTTTTCTTGGATATTTAAATTAAATACTCAATTTGAATTCACGTGACCAGTTTTAAAAATAGTTTTTAATTTTCTACCATTGATAAAATTATGTCTAAGAACGAATTGAAAAGACAAGAAATAAATCAAGCTGTGATTGTTGCAGACTCCTTCAATCGCAAGCTTGCGCCTCTGACGAATTTGAAACCAGAGGTAAAATAATTGTCTTTATAATTCTCATTATTATAGTTCTTTTGTATATATATATTTTGATTTTTAAAAAGTATTGAATATGTTTATGACTGTTTTTGACGTTTCGTAAGTTATAAATGATTGATTTTAAAACTTTATTCTTTAATTACTCAGCAGTGTTCAAAATCATTAGTGGTCCATTAGTTCAAGACCATTGCAACCCCTCTTCGATTAGTAAGAGTAAATAATAACGAGTAAACCTTGAGACGACTATACGAAAATTACTCATAACTATTTGATTGATTGTTTGTAATTTGAGTATCTTGTATTTTATCATTTAAATTACAATCTAGAAAGTGATAAAGAAATTTGTATGTTTTACAATTTTTTTAAAAATTATTATTAGGTAAAACTATACAAAGTAAATATTAAAAATATATTGCATAAAGGAATTTTTATAATCGCGTGCAAAAAATTTTCGTTTCCATTGTAAATTTTTTTATCCGTGACAAAATTCTGCTGAAAGTTAAAGTGAAAAGTCCCACCACCAGATGAAAAGTTATTCAGAGTCCCATTTTTTATTTTTGCTCATTGTAAAATCATATATAATAATTGACCACAACACATTAATGCTTTCTAGTCCGAAGGACTACTAACTTTTTAAATAACTTGTCGTTACAACTTTTTCCAAATTATTAATGCACTTGCTGACTCACTAACTATTATCATTGAATATAAAACATTAGTATATAAACACTTTTTAAATACAGTGCGACCTCGAAAATCCGGACTTCTGAAATGCGGGAATCTCTAAAATCCGGACTCGCCAGAGAAAATTTTCAAAAAAACAAAAGCAAATAACTTAAAATGAAAATTTAGACAAAAAACCACAACTCTTCTCCAACAATGAAGCATTGAGGAGGTAAGGGTGAGGAATGAATGAAAGCTTATAGCTGATAAGGAAATTCCAGTAATTCTTATCAACTCTGTATGGATAACAAAGAATATAAAGAGAAATACTGAAGGGGAATCCCCTCAGGAGGAGGAATTTTTCTACCACCTTGTTTTTCCCAACTGTGAAGAAAGAAAACTGGTTTTTTCTTAACCTTAAAGCTTAGGAGGCGAGGACAAGTTCTTTCATCCCCCAACAAAAAAAAGGGATTAGTATCAGCTGGTACAATCTGGTGTAGAAGCATCTGTTTCAGTTATAAGCTGAAATTCTGCACATATTTTTAGTTTTAATTGCTAATATTATAACGATTGATGACGGGGGGAGATGACGAAAGTTAAATTTTTAGTGTCTCTTATTTATTATTTAAGGAGTATATTTATGTTAAAATTGACGTCGGAGGTCAACACACGCGTATTTAATCGCAGAATCGGGTTGGCGAATTCGCAACTTCGATAATTCTATCAATTTAAGAAAGGCATCTAAAATCCGGACCTTCCAAATCCCCCAGCAGTTCGGATTTTCGAGGTTGCACTGTAATTGAAAAATAAAAATAGCTGACATTGAAGCTGAAATTAAGAAAGAAAAAATTGTGTGTATGTAGGAAACATTAATCCAAAGAATATTAGCAACGTTTTAATAATAATATCAATATGAGATTTTATTAATTTATTTCAATTCTGTGAATATGAATCTCAATGTCGGATTTTGAAGTCACAAAAAGCAAGCATTGACATTTAATTTTAAAATCACATTGTTACGAATCTGAATGTTAAATTTTAACGTCCTGTGAATACGATGTTTGATGCGCGATGTTTGTCTTGATGTTTGATACGCAAATGAGAAACTCAAAGTTTTTTTTTAAAAATTGTCTGAACATTAATTCCGATGTATAATTTTAAGTCACTTGAACTCACTTGTTGGCTTTTAAATTACAATAATGGGAAACTCAATAATTGATATGAAAAAGAGGAAAATATTAAACATGATCGGCAATCTTAAATCTTATAGAAATTAAAAATGTGATTTTAAATATGAAATATAATTATAAATAACGTTTGCATTGGTAGGGAAAAGCAAAAAAGCAAATTTTTTTTTCATTCATTAGTAACAGTAAAAAAATTTCTGCAATGGTGACAAATTTTCCACAAACAGTGTTTGTGAATATTATTCAGGTCTGTGTGTAAATACTTTATCTAATGTGCTATACATTTTATGTCAATAAAATTTCATCTAAAATAAGGAGAAAATTAGAAAGTAATGGAAATCTAAGATAAAAATGGATGAAAATATAGACCAAACATGAAGCATTTTGTGACTACAATTTATGTAAGCATTATTTGACAAGTTGCTATCGATCAACACTATTAATTAATTTAATTATTTTATGCTGTTCATGAGCTCTATTGCCTATTTGTTTCATTTAAAGATATTTTCTTATTTACTCTTTACTTTGTTTATGTATTCTCTCTCTTGTTTATTTAAAACTTGTATTTTGATATAAGTTATTGAACTTTGGAACTAAAATTAATTGAATAATAATGATAGTTGTTGCATTACTGTTATTTTTTTGTAAAATGTTATATAAGTAATTTTGAATGGCTTGGATTTAAATTGTTTGAAAATTACATTGCTTTTTTTACTTCACATTTCTAGTAAAATTTAGAACTTTTTTATGTTTTAATAATCAATTTTTCAAACTTAAAGATTTTTTTTATACATACGAGGCCTGTCTAAAAAGTATCCGACCTTAATTTTTCCTGCGCAAAGTAGTGACTCTAAGGCGGCGCCTTAGTGCACAGTGGAAGGAGGAACCTTAATGCACATGACTGAATTTTTTCACCGTGTTCGCTTGTGCAACTCGCTGGCTGGTGGTCGCCAAGTAAGGTGCTGTTCGTAGAGTTCGTCGGATTTAGTTTTCTCGCAAGATGACTGAACGAATTGAGCAAAGATACTGCATGAAATTCTGTCAAAAGCTTGGTGATTCTCAAAGCCAAACAATTAGTAAGATTCAGCAGGTGTTTGGAGAAGAAGCGATGGGTGCAACACAAATTAAGGAGTGGTTCAACCGATTCAAAGATGGCCGCACATCAGCGGAGAGTGAACAACGTTGTGGCAGGCCTCAAACTGCTCAGAGTGCAGTTAATGTTGAGAGGTTGTGAAATTTGGTGATGGCAGATCATCGTTTGACAGTGCAGGAGATTGCAGAAGAGGTTGGAGTGAGTAAAGATTCTGCACATGCAATTTTGCGTGAAGATTTGAACATGAACCGAGTGGCTGCAAAATTCGTACCCAAGTTGTTGTCGCCGGAACAAAAAGCACGCCTCTGCACATTCATCCCAATTGATCCACACTTTCTTAGCCAAACATGGAATTACAACCGTTCGCCAACCTCTCTACTCTCCAGACCTGTCTCCTTGAGACTTCTGGTTGTATCCAAAATTGAAGACGCCACTGAAAGGATCCAGTTTTGAGAGTAGAGAAGAGATAATGCGGAACGCGACGACGGAGCTGAACACCATTCCAAAAGAAGACTTCCAGAGGTGTTTCCATCAGTGGAAGGATCGGTGGGCTGAGTGTGTGCAAGCACAAGGGGCCTACTTTGAAGGGTATTAGGGTCCCAACTCCGTCAAGTATTCGAAATATTTTTTCCGGCCCAAGGTCGGATACTTTTCAGACAGGCCTCGTATATTAAATATTGCTGATTTTACTTGATGTCATAAAATAACTCTTTTGATGTTTTCAAGGTCCTTTTACCAGTTGCAAATGGAGTTGTTTTGGATTTCATTTTGCAGTCATTGGAAGAATCTGGCATCCAAGAAACTTTTATTTTTTGTTGTGCAAATAATCATCTGGTTCGAAGTTATGTTAAGTATGTTTTTATAAGCCATACTCTAATTTATTGTTCACTAAGGCATATTTTTAATTATTTTTTGCAGATTAGCATAACTTAGTAACACTTGTCAGTCTAAAATTATAAAATGTTTAAAAAAAATAATAATAAGAAAAAAACATCTACTTGTATAAATAATTCTGTAAAAATAATTTTGATAGATAAAATAAACATATTTATTTTGAATATTTTCTAAAGTTATGTGTTATTATTTATTTCATATGAATTATAAACTCTTTTAGCAAAGATAAATTAAAGAGAACAGCGTTTTACACTAAAGTGAAAATTTATTTTCTATACACAGTGTGATTTCTTTAAGATAGAAGCGTATTTTGAATTGTTAAACCTGTTGCTGTATGTTAAGAAGTGAAAAAGGTCAAATAGTATATATGTTAGAGAGTAGAAATATTTCTCCTTCTCTTTATGTGAACAAATGGTTTAATATTAACCATTTAATTAATATTAAAGAAAATGTTTTAATAGTTGATTTTTATTGACATTAGAAAATATTAACTAGCATTGTTTAGGTTGTAATTTTATTGAAATTTTTTCATTGAAATGAAAATTTATATAAAAGATTTATTGAAAAATCCAAAATTTATTTGGTAAAATTTAGCAACTGAATCAGATCTGGTTGTTTCTGAAAATTATGAATAAAATATTATTTGTGGGGGTTTGAATGTGTACACATATTATTATTTTTTTTTTTTGAATAGAAATATTTTAAATTTCGAAAAAAGAGTTAATAACAAGTAAAGAATTGTGATATTGCATAATAAACTAGGTTCTCAAGCAAATGTGTATAACATGACAGTTGAAGCAATTTTGAATGTGTCCCACTAGCTTCATGTTATAGAGCTTACTCCCTGTGCTTGTCAGTTCATGAAAGTGTAAAATACTGTTTTGAAAAATTACAACTTTGGTCAATTTCATGTATAGCTAATTTTTAAAGTTAATTTGTGTCAATCAGCTTTACTTAGGAGTTAATTTGCCGATTTTGACTTTTTAAAATGCACTTGTTATGCTTATAACTTCCGTAATCATTTAGAGCATTGAATTAAAAAAAAAAAAAAACCCTTTAAAATATTCTAATATTTCATTTATTTTTTAAATGTGACATTTTAAAATGTGCTTATTCAGGGTGGCCATCCACCTGGAATTATCAGGGAATTTTTTTTACACTGGAAAAATCAGGGAAATTCGGATTAAAACCTGGAAAAATCGGAGGTTTAAAGAAAGCTTGAAATTTTTTAAATTTCACTAATTTAAATTATTTACTAATTTTCTTAATTTAAATTATTTCATCCATTATACCCACTTTTTTTAGACGGAGATGTATCTCCAAGCAGTTGAAATATCATCAATTTAGCATACTTTGCTTGCATCAAGATTTGCTCCATTACAGCTGTGTTAAACTAGAATGCCATATAAAATTCTCCCACTGTTGCTAAATGAATGTGGAAACCTTTGACCGCTATGGACTGTGCAATTTAGGAAAGATTTAGGAATTATCAGGGAATTTTTTTTATACTGGAAAAAACCTGGAAAAATCAGGGAAATTCGGATTAAAACCTGGAAAAATCGGAGGTTTAAAGAAAAGCTGGAAATTTTTTAAATTTCACTAATTTAAATTATTTACTAATTTTCTTAATTTGAATTATTTCATCCATTATACCCACTTTTTTTAGACGGAGATGTATCTCCAAGCAGTTGAAATATCATCAATTTAGCAATTACTTTGCTTGCATCAAAATTTGCTCCATTACAGCTGTGTTAAACTAGAATGCCACATAAAATTCTCCCACTGTTGCTAAATGAATGTGGAAACCTTTGACCGCTATGGACTGTGCAATTTAGGAAAGATTGTGGGGGAGGTGGAAGAAGGGATTAGGATATTAGCTTCTATTTTAAATTCTGTCCTTGGGCTGAATCCATTTATGGCTTAAGTTTGTTCCAATACTTTCGTGGTAATTTTTTTCCATTTTGACAAAATGTTTTTGTATTTTTAACTTTATAAAATTCTCCAAAAATTAGTTGGTTATAATTTAATAATAATAATAGATTTTATATTGCACTCTTTTTCTGAAAGCTTTTTTTATTCCCATTAAAGGAAATCTGTGAATTATTTTTTCTCAGCAAACCAACCAATCACACATTTTTTATTTACAATCGCTAACAGCAATGTTTATCGACAAATTGTTACAATTGTTGCATTAATGCTAATTTTTTCCCTTAACCTTTTATAGCATATTTTAATTTTAAAAAAAGGTTTTTTTTAAGAACTAACTATATATTAGTATTTAATTTTACTCTTTTGTTGGTTAATATATGATTTTTGATTCAAAATTTTATACCAAAGCATTAAAAATGAATAAAAAAGCTTGCCAAATTATCAAAATAAATTATTTTTTTCAAGATATGTTAAAAAAATGACATTTTGAATAAAATATTTTATAATATAGACTTTTTTCTCGTACCCACATCCTACACTTTATTAGAATGAAGAAACTAAAACCTGGAAATTTTAAGATTTTTATCTGGAAAAATCAGGGAAATTTGAAATCTGATTTGAGTGGCCACCCTGTTATTATAACTTGCATAATTATTTGCAGTATTATTTAATTGAAAAACATCTTTAAAGTACTCTTATTTCATTTCTTGTTATTATTAATGAATGTATATTTAAAAACGATTCTCATGAGAATTTTATATTTCAAATTTATAACCTTTTCTATTATTTATAACCTAATCCTTTGCGTTGACTATCATTTATATGTGCCAGCATGAAATGCCTTTATTTTCTGGCCAACATGGGACACGCCTGAGTGATTCTGAGCTCACTTCTGTCCATCACATCTTGTTACTGTGTTCTGGATCATTTTAAAAACTATAATTCTTTGGCACAAGATGGCATGTTGTAAGTTCATATGATTTGAGATACATGTTGATTTGACTTTTTGCACGTAATGATAGATATATGACTCGCATTTGGTTATTGATTATATAAATATGAGGATAAAGGAATGTTTCTGAATCGTATGCTTTAAGATGGCTTTTTAAAAAATTAGCATGTAGTGTTAGTTTATAGTATGTGGGAGAGTTTTATTTTTGCTAGAGTGTATTTGGTTTGCAGTCCATTTTTCACTTGATTGTGTCTTATAGGTGTAAAATTTTTTTTTTGCCGTTACAATGTCGAAGTGCCAAAAATATTTAACTAACTTTGAAATTGCAGAAATGGTGTAAAAACGTATTTAATCGAAAAAAAAACAAACTTAAGTAAATAAAAAATAGGTACAGTGTATGTCACATATCTATTTTATAGCAGATTCTGAATATGCTCAGTACTTGTTCATATTTTGGTGATTTAATGGTTCATGCGTAACAGCAAAATACCCTCTAGTCCTGAACAGGCACTAGTGAAAGAAAATCTCGACTTCAGTGATAAGCAAAGAAGGTTAACATAGCTTTCAAACTTATTACAAGTTTTTGTATTTTCTTGGTTTGTTCTATTATTTCAAGAATTGTTTATTACAATTATTTCTGTAGCTATTTAAAAGAAAAACTCATTTAAAATGACTGTTTAAGTTCTTTTTTATTCTTCTAAAAATTAATTTTTATGAATTTGTTTTAAAATATTTTAGTTCCTCTCGATGGTCTGAAGATGATTCCAAGATGTCTGTCCAAGTCATCAGCTCCACTTGCTTCTTGTCAATGGGTGACATTATGCGAGAACTGGATTCAAAAGGCCTTATTCGTTCAGATTTTCTTTTAATCAATGGAGATGTGATTACAAACTTTCCATTAGGAAAGATCTTGGAAGAGCACAAGTATGGAAATCAATTTTATTTTTGGCGGTTTTGTATTCTCAATGCACTAAATTATGCAATAATTAGTTTCATTTGTGATCTTAATATTTCTTATATTGTGAAATCTTAGTAATGCAAACTCTTGAGTGAAAAGGGGAAGGGCATGCTAATTGTAAGAATTAATGTTGTCAATCATTTTAAATGAATATGATGGTTAAATAAATGTAAAAGTGGAGAATAATATTAATATTTATTTAATATTAATGAAATTATTATGGTTATAGTTCCAAGGAAAACTCATTGTATAAAAAGAAAATTTTATATACTTCTTGCATGACTCTCATTACTGCATTTAACATTGATCTAATGAAAAGAAAAAATATAATAATTTTTTTTTAATGGTTTTAGCTCATTAGATCTTGTTTTGCATTAATTTATTTAATATTTCTATTCCTATTTCATTGTTTTTGGTGAACTATTTTAGTTTCCAAATAAGTTCAAAACATTTTTTCTATTTATTCAGAGTTTAATGTTAGTGACATATTTCAAATAACTTTTTAATCAAACAATCCTATTTAAACTATTGATGAAAATCTTATAAACTAATTAATAACAGGGAATTAGAGCCAGGGTGCTTTGGAACTGAGTTTTTCCTAGGGTCCATGCTCCAGAGCGCTTGCAGTTTCATTGTAGAGGCATTGCCTGTTAGCCAAGTTGATGTTGAACGACTATTCTCATTATTAAAATATAATTATTATGATTTAAAATAAAATATGAAGAAGGAATTATTAGATTAAATTCTTCTCTTAAGAATGAGCAAATAACCCAACCATGAATTTAATTACATTTGTATATCCTAAGTGAGCAGATGCTTATGTTAGTTTTTTTTAATATTAATACAAAAATCTGTAGTAAAATTACAAGAGCTGGAACTTAAGCTTATTATCTGGAGTGAAACTGGAGCATTAAAAATATTTTGATTCCTAATTCCTTTGTTAATGATAAATAAATTCACTGAAGTGTAATTCACACTTTTATCAGTAATAATTCAGTAATAATTCACACTTTTATCACTGAAGTGCAGTGATAAAAAAGACTGGCTGGCAATACCTTCCAGTGAGGCATTTGGTCCCATAAAGTTCTTGAAAAAAGATATTTGTCGAAATGCACTATTGAATACACTCACACTAATCAATCAATTATTTAGTTAAAAGCCAGAGAGATATGTAAGTTTTGCGATTTCCTCCCCACCCCACTTTGTACATCTCCTTATTCCCATAAAACATACTAACACCGATTAAAATTAAAAAAAACTGTCTCCTGACAGAAAATAAATTATTTAGATGTAGAGTGCTCACCTTGAAGGGCTTTCTAAAAAAGCGCTGTGGTCTTATCCTGGTTACAAAAGTTTGTTTATTATGGTTTATTTACACAAAAAATGCTGGGATTTTTATGATAGTTGATTGAGTGTAATGTGAAGTGTTCGTCCTCTATTTTTCTTTAAAATTAATACTTATATTTTTTAATAAAGATACTACAGAACATTCTAAACATTTTTGTCCATTGTTATTTGTTTTGTCGTTGATAGTACTGCAATATTAATCTATGCAAGAACATCTAATTTCTTAGATGTTAATGCACATGAACTTTTTCTAAATTCTTCTCCAAAATTGCAATTTACTCATTAAAAAATATCAGTGCATTGATAGCACAAAAATTATAACCATGTTATGCCTTTTTAATTTTTCATCTCTCTTGAGTTTTAATATTCTATATCTGTATAGAATTACGAGGGTTGTCCATAAAATAAAATTCCCAAGGAGGTGCGGATGCTAGGAACGCTGTTAAGCGGGATTTGTTGAGACTGGCATGTAACTTAGCTCCCTTTGCCCCAGTTCCCGCCCCGGCGAGGTATCTACAACGTTGATTCTTGTCTTGGTAGCCGTGAAAGATAAAGCTTCCATTTGTTTCTCACGCCAGGTGCGAATTACGCTCTGTGATTTGTTTTTGAGTGCAAAAAACGTTCCTCCGGTGGACATTCATTCCCAACTCTGTGAGGCGTACGGGGAAGAGTGTATGAGTGTGCAAACTGTGCGCAAATAGTGCAGAAAATTCAAAGACGGACTTACAGACGTCCATGACGAACAACATTCTGGTCGGCCATCGTTTTCGGACAAAGCTATTGCGAAAGTGGAAGAAGCAATGCTGAAAGATCGAAGGGTGAAGGTTCGGGACCTCAGCGAGATGATCCCTGTTGTCAGTAAGTCCTGCATTCACAACATTCTGAGAGACCGCTTAGGATATGCCAAGGCTTGGGCAAGGTGGGTCCCGAAAATGCGGACGGATGACTATGACAACAAACGGCAATGTATGGAAGCCGCCTGCAAATTTCTTCATGCCTACGAAACCGATGGCAAGGAATTTTTGGACTCGGTTGTCACTGGGGACGAGACCTGGGTCCACTACATGACACCGGAAACAAAAGAACAATCCCGTTAGTGGAAGCATCCATGCTCGCCAAAGCCGAAGAAGTTTAAGCAAATTCTGTCTGTTTTAAGCTATCTTCGCAGAGCGGCGGCAGAGTTCTACGACTCAGGCATAAAGAAGATGGTACACTGCATGTAAAAATGCATTGATCTAAACGGCGATTATGCCGAAAAAAAGAGGGAAGTCTAAGCTTTCCAAACATGTATTATTCAATGCCAATAAACATGTTTTTCATTGTGAGAATTCGTGGGGAACCTTATTTTATGGACAACCCTAGTATATAGAATGTATGTCTGAATAATTATGTACTGTGTGTTCTTATATGTTACAATAGTTAATGTATATTACAGGAATCGCAGGCAAACGGATAAAAATAGTGCTATTACTCTTGTATACAGAAAAGCTCTGCCAAATCATGCCAATAGATGCAAGGAAAATAATTTTGTTGTTGCTGTTGAATCAGATAGTAATAGGATTAGGTATTTTCAAAGAATCAACAAAATGAGAACTGTGCATTTCCCTTTGGTTCGTACACTATATATGATACTTGTGTGTTTACATATAAAAAAAATATTTATACAGTTCATCAGTTTTATTTTGAAATTTTTAATATTATTGTAGGAGATATTTCAAGAAAGTGAAGAAATAAGTATTCATAATGACCTTCTGGATAGTTCTATCAGTATCTGTTCTCCCTGTGTTCCACCATTGTTTTCTGATAACTTTGATTATCAAACAATGGATGATTTTGTAAAAGGACTTCTTGTTAATGAAGAAGTAAGTTTTATGATTTTTTTTTAAACTTCTCTCCAGTATATATTTTATTTGAATTTTATCAATACAAACTTGTGAAAAGGCCTAACGTTTAATTACTCTAATAAGAAGTTGGATTCTTTTGTTTAGATTTTTAATTAAAAATTTCTTCTGTTTACATAGATATTATTTATTTTACTTAATTAGAGTAGTAATTAAGAATTTATTTGTACTTAAATAGAAAATGTTAACTTTAAAACAATATTAATGTAAATAAAAATGTAACAGTATCATAAGATGTAAAATTTTGATTTCATAAAATAGAAGAAAAATGTGAGTTTTTGTACCTGCTCTTTTAGTTGCTTGAGTATTATTTGAAACATTTAATAAATGTTGTAATAAGTTTGTTTACACTGTATATTGAACTAAATTATAAAAATTAAATGTATATATATATTTTTTTATAATCTCTTATTTCTTTTTTTTTTTTCAGCTTTTGGGAAATTCCATGTATATCCACATTTCAAAGACTGGTTATGGTTCTAACATATCAAACTTGTGCATGTATGATTCAATCAGGTAACTGTTTGTTCGCACATCATACTATTCAATCACAGAATTTATTTCCAATGTGAAATTATCATGTAAATTTTCTAAAGGAATCATGAATATTTTGTGACATGGAAATAAATTCTTTTTTTTCATTAGCTGTAAAATAGATAGGTTATTACAATTACAAATTCTTCTTAAAGGACAGCAATATTAAGAATTAAATAAGTTTTATGATTTTTCTCACTTTTTAAATTTAAGCTTTAGATATTTTTATAATAGGGAGGAAGGGAACTTTTTAGTTAAATGTTAATGCTTTTTATTTCTATTTTCTATAAGTTTATTAAATATATAATATTTTTATGATAATAAATTTGAATTCTAATTCTAAGTGGTTGATAATAATTTATATTTTATTAGTTTACTGTTTTACTGTGCTTTTAGCACAACTGGGTTTTTGACTGGAAAATTTTTAAATTATTAAAATATGGTTTTAACCTTATAAAAAAATGAGGGCCAAAATTGAGAAAATTATGCAACCCCCCCCCCCCAATTAAAAGGTTTATAAGTAAAGCTGTTTAGTGGTTTATTTAAATATTGATAAATATATAATTTTAAATAAATTATTTTCTTTTAAGTACAAAACATCAGTATGTATGAAATCTTCAAAAATTTTGAAAAAAAGGGCAAATATAATTTTTGACGCTTATTGTGATCATCTTGAACGTGCAATGTTTATATAATATATAATGCAATATTTATGTTATTATGGAAAATTTATTACTTGATGACCAAAGGGGAACTATAGATTATGTCAATTTTTTCTCAAAAATGATAATTGAATCACCAACTGTTGCATTTTATGGATTACTAGGTTTTAATAAGTTAATAATGGGGAAAATTGGTTCTCCTCAAGAATTATTATGCAGTGAAAATTATCTTCATTTAGGATTTTCACAGTAAAGTTAATCTCAGTCATTTAGTTTTCACATTTAAATTAGCGCAGATGTGCTAGTTTAAATTATTGTTATAAAATTTGACTTGATTATAATCTGTCAATCTATTTTATTAATCATTAAGTGTTTTTTTTTTTAGTCAGGATATAATGGCTAGATGGACATATCCTCTTGTGCCAGATTTGCTGAAATTGAATGGGAGCAAGTATTCGTTTACCAGGCAAAATGTTTACAAGGAACCTGATGTTGAAATTGGAAGGTATTTTTTTAAATTTAAATTATATTTTTATTATAACATTATAAATTAAAAATTATAAAATAAATTATATTTTTATTATAACAAAATTATAAAAAATTATAAAAATTATATTTTTATTATAACAAAATTATAAAAATTATATTTTTATTATAACATTTTATTGAAATAACTCTAATTTATTTTTAGGATGTACATTACCTTGATATTTCTCAAGTTTTTTTGCATGTAAGATTCATAAAAAAATTATTTAATTAGATTACAGCTGCCCATTATTGTTTATCATAGACCTTCTATGTGACCTAATTGGATATTTATAATTGAATAATTTTATGAATTTTATTTTAAAATTAAAAAAAAAAAACTTTCGAAAGGTTCTTTAAAATTGTTTATTTTATTGCACTGATTTAAAATTTGTAATTTTTTTGATATACTTTAAAAGACAATCTTTGTTTCTAATAGAATATTTAATAATGCATTTTTTATGATAGGTGATATTAATAACATGTGTAAATTATAGTCCCCCCCCCAATATTCCAAAGAATGAAAATAAAGAAAATATGTTAATAGAATGCATGCAAACACATTGAAAAGCATTATTGACGAATAAAATTTATTGAGGCAAATTTAAAAATATTTTTATGAAAGCTGATTTCTGCCTGATATAATGATGTATCTAGCTAGATTTTTCTTTTCAAATTATGTAGTTACTCTTAGTAAATTTTGTGTTTTGGCTCAGAAATTATATATATATATATATATATATATCTGTATATATATCATGTAATGTTAAAAGAATTATATTTTAAATCTAATCGCTAAATAGTGCTTGTATCTAACGCGCAAACGTTTAAAACCTTATTATGTAATGTTAAAAGAATTGTATTTTAAATCTAATCCCTAAATAGTGCTTGTATCTAACGCTCAAATGTTTAAAACCATTCCCACTAGAAAGTAATAATATTGATCTAATTATCTCAGAAAATGTGATGATGTGACTTTAGTAGCTTGGGAAATTGATCAGTCTCGCGCTACTGAGACCTATTACTATTTAAATATATTGTCCAGAAAGATATAAAAACCCTCTTTCCAAGGTCAAATTTGCTATTCTCTATCTATCCACCAGCCAGTAAGGTTGTCATTCTGGAGCTCTGGCCCTTACTTCAATAAAATTATATTATGATTCCTGCATTTTCCTGTATCTTTTTCATGAAGCACTGGCCACACTACGAACTTACAATGTTTATGATTTCAAAGCGTAACACACGCACGTAAGTATGTATGTATGAAGAGATAATAATATTGATTTCTTATGAAAAGTAATCAAATTATTTTATTATAAGCAATAAAATTTTCATCGATAGTCAAAATAATTAATATTATATTTATTTCAAAGCACCAGTTGTAATATTAGGGATTACTTGTGTGTAGTTATGATTGTAACACATACATTATGAATCTGCGATTGTAATATGTACATTATCATCAGTAATTCTGTGAAGTTTTTTGTCTTCATAAAACACAGCCTTTGTGTTTTGTAAGTTGAATACAAATAGCAGTGTTTTGCTATTGTAGTATATCTGTATGTAGTTTTATTTTTTTTTTTATGTTCCAGGAATTGTGAAGTGCAGAAAAATGTTATCTTGGGAAGTGGCACTAAAATTGATGAAAATACATTTATAAGTAACTCGGTTATTGGACGCAATTGCACTATTGGTAATTTTTTTTCTTCAGTTTCTTAAAAATCTTTGTTGTCATATGAAAGAAATTTCACTGTCACTAAAAAGAAATTGTAAATATTGCATTTTAGTCTCTTGTTCGATAATTTATTATTACTATCTTCAGATTTGGCTTTATGGAATTGAACCGCTATTTAAATAAAGCATTCATATAGTGTTAGGTATCGATTACAAATATCAGAGTTCTTCCTTTGGCATAAAAGTGGGCAGGGTGCTTCCTCACAGAAAAGGACACTGTGTTCCGAAACGGTACTCACTTAACACTGTAAAAATTTATCAAAATGTGTAATATCATGTAATAACTGAATTTAACCCTCAACCACCGTTTTATGTGTATATTTCAGAAATTTATTTTCTCTCAGTATCTAAATAAGTGAAAAATTTATAGTTTATAAATAATAAATGAAGGTATTCTAAAAGAGACAATCTCTGTGTAAATTTTTTTTTCAACTAAAGTAAACTAAAAAAGAATTATTGTTGGGAAGACAATTATAGGCTTGGAACCTTTTTTTTTTTTACAATTCAAACTGAAAACTATGCAAAGATTTAAAGATGCTTATATGGACATTTAAAAAAAATAATTTTTTTTTTGAAAAAAAGGTACTTAAAAATAATTTTAAAAAATTCATTAATATACCCCAAACAAAAAAGAGAAACTCACAAAAAATTTTACCAGGTGAGAATGATCCTAACAAAATAAATATTTGTAATAGAAATCAGAAATAAACTTATACATAGAGATAATTTGACCAATGTGTAATTTATATTTGAATAATCAATTGAATTTTTTAAATGGAATATGAATAAATAGCCAGTTTAATGGCTATTTATTCATATTCCATTATGGATGGGTGGCTTATTTTTACAAAAAGGACAAAGAGGGGAGGATCAAAAGGCAGGCAAGGCAAGCCACCTTTCTAAAAATGCCATAGGTAAACACTGCAATTATGTTGCAGTTGATACAAAAGTATATGGATATTTGAATCAAGCTTTGTTCATTTAAATCAAGATACCAATGTAACAAACTCATAAATGCAATGATTTTGTTTGCTTATTTCCTTGAATGATACTTACAGAAAATTGTTTTTAATTTTGTTTTTTAAGTAGAAGACACGCATTTTAAAATTTTCCTTTCTCACTGCATTAATTTAAAAGACTCTATTTTTGTAAAAGTCTATTATTATTGCAAAATTTAAATTTTTGAAGTAATTTAAAAATATTTAAATAAAATCATTAAAAATATCTTATAATGTATTTTTATTCTAGTTTATGTTAAAGTAAACATTAACATTCCCATTTTATGCATACAAGGAATTTAGTGTTTTAAGCACTCGAAAAATATTTATTATTATTAAATTTTTATTCATTATTTTCTAACATAGTTTTAGCTTCAATTTTCGCTGAGTTTCTTGGTGCTGCTTGTTTCATAGTTTTCCATTTTTTCAGATTTACTTCCTAGCTTTTCAAGCTAGGTTAATCATAGGTTAATTGTTCTTTATTTACTGTCTCTTCCCCTCTTGCTTTAGTAGTTTCTTGTAATGTTTCTCACGTGTTTTTATGTTAACATCATTAACATATCATCCTAAACTTGAGTGTTATGTAGTGGCTCTTAAAACAAATAGACCTTATTTCTTACAATAGACCGTATTCTTACTTTCACTTGTTTTACTGAGTAATAACATGTTATTATTTTCAAATAATTATTTAACTTAGCTTCAATATATCTTTATTTTGTTTAGGTAAAAATGTTGTGGTGAAAGGATCATATTTGTGGGACAACATAGTTATCAAAGATAATTGCATACTAGATACATGTTTGTTAGCTGATACAGTTATCTTGAATTCTAATGTGAATATACAGCCTGGTTGTGTTCTAGGAAGTGAGGTAAGAATGCAACTTTATTTTCAATTTAACTATAACTGTTAGTGTTTATTTTTTTAACTGTTTGTGTATGTGTTAATAAACAATTTAAACATTGTAGGTATTCAAAGGATGCTATATTATGTTCCCAACTTAATTTTTTATTCATATGGTTGACTGGATCTAATTAACTATTTGATTACTTAAACATGCTAAAATGTGTGCTCCATTAAATTTTTCTTTAGTTTATTTATGAATTCTTTTTTTTTTTCTTTTTAAATTTTTGTAAATTGTCTAAATCGATCTGTGGGGGAAAAAGATCTATGTTTTCAATTTTATTTCTATCACTCAACTGTTGTTAATCTATTCAATGCAAATCTCTCAATTGCATATCTCTTCAATGTATAAAGCATGTTTCCCATGACTTTTTATTCAGAAGAAATAAATTACATTGTGTACAACTTGTTTTTTATTTTTAGTAGAACTTAACAATTGAGTAATAAAGAGTGATTTAAAAATCACTTTTTTTAAAAAAGTAAATAAATAAATAAGAGCAAAATATGTATGTATTAAACTTTAAAGGTCTGATTAAACACAGTGGAATTTTTTTGTTTGGACGATGTAAAAAAGTCTAGCCATTGAGAAAATATTAACATTGAATTTAGAGATGAAATATGTTCGCAAGAAAAAAGATTTCTTTTTTTTTTTCATTGAACAATTTTGATTAAGTTGGTTTCTAAGGCAAATAAAGCATTTATTAGCAATGTATAGAAGGTTTTTTTAAAATTTTGATGTTTTTGTAACTTGATATAATTTTACTCGGATATTTAAATTGAATCATCATTTCAAAAGTATAGTTGTTCTTATTCAATGGGGATATATTCATATTTTATTTGTTGCATATCACATATTTGTATGTATATATGTATAAATATATTTATCAGAGTTTGAATATCATAAATTTTTTTATGTAAAATACTATATGTATATTAAGGTAGATTCCTTTTCAATATTTTTTCCTTGTGAGTTCAGTGAATGTTAATTCAGTAAATTAAGCTTTTTTAAAAATAAATAAATAAAAAACAATAATGTTTACATGAAGAAAAGTAACTTTTAATGTACAAAAATTAACTTTCTATTTTTTTTTATATAGGTTGTCATTGGAGAGGGCGTTACACTTCCACCTTGTACAAAACTTCAGTCTCAGGTATATACGGAAGATGATAGCTTTGGTGAAGAGGATTTTGAAGAAGAAACAAAAGCAAATGACAATAAGGGTATATGTCTTGATTATAGTAAATTATTAAGTGATTTGATTTGTTATTGTGTGTCTGGGAATTAGAAATTAAAATTATTATTCATATATTGCACTTGTTAAATATATTGCATGTTCACTTTAAATAGGTTGTTATCTATAAATAATATGTTCAACATAAATAAGTTGCATGTTTTATTGTTTACATTAATTGTTTTGTCTGTAATTAAATATTTGAATTAGTTTTATCTGACTTTGATAACAGTTTCTAGAGGTTGAAGTTTATATTTTCCATTTTATCTACATTCTGGTTTTAAAAGAATTATTAAAGTACTGTAAGAAATTTTGATTAATTTATTTATATTTTTTTGCAATAATTTGCATATTTAAATTTTTTACTAGCATTCTTTTCATAAAGTACTTTACTTTTCTTACTTACGATACCTTATGATTCCAGTGTTATATTATTATGCGTATTTTTTTTTAATGTTTTTGCATAGGTATAAGTTAAAAATCACCCTGAAAAATTTTGGGAAAAAGGAAAACTGTTAATTGAACTTTAGAATCAAAGGAACTAAAGAATATATTGTCAAATTGAAAATTTTGTCATAGAACAAGACTTGCATCAATAATTGCATTTGACTCTTTTTATGTATGTCTTATCACGAAACAAAAAATCAAAATCGAATTTGCAGATTTTTAGAGTGATTTCTTTCTTATTTTTACCTCTTATATTTTCTTTCTTTCTTTCCCCCCCACTTATTTAAAGTTTTGATAAGTTTCAGAAAAGTTCTTGTCATCCTAAGAGCACAGTGCTGTGTGCTACTATCAAATATTTCACCCCAAATCTAAACATTGTCCTTCCTTGCATATGTAAATTAGGAATATCAGAATTTCTGTTAATCATAATGCATCATACACAACTTAATACACAACTTAAAATGTCTGTGTGGTTCACTACTTAACATGAACAATTTTTAAATTCCGTAACATATTAGATTTGGTTTGGTTTTGGTTTATTTATTGTCACTGTAAAATTTCTTAAAACTTGCTATGTCTTGTAATTCACCTGTTTCTTTTTTTGATCATTAGTTTGTGATAAGAAATTGGTTGGAGAAAAAGGGCATGGATACTTGTGTCAATCAGAAAGTGACAGTGATATGGAAGAAGATGATGACATTGTTGAAGACATATGGGGTAAAACTGAGGAATTTGAACCAGAAGATGATGATGATAGCATTAGTTCCAGTTCTGAAATACCTAGTTTAGATGACGTTGCAGCTGAAGAAAGTGATGGGGAAATCGATAAATATGAGGATGATGAAGATACTATGTGTAAGCATAAATATTTATTAAGTCTGATTATTTAGTGTCAAGCTAACAAAAGATCATTAAAAATTTGAAAGCCTGCTGTTTAACAATCACCATAGAATCTTCTAAAATTTTTGACTTTATTTATTTATTAATTAACTAGTTAGATTTATAATTTGTTATAATTGTTATTTCTATTAATTGTTTGCTTTTAATAACTGTTTGATTATAAACTATTGTACACAATTTTAGTTGAATTTTCAATTTTTTAATTGTGTATCGATCATTATGAATCAATTATGTTTTTTTATTTCTTCAAGTACTTGATATATGTAGTAACATTAAAAAAAAAATGCCATGGAAATAAAAAAAAAGTGGCAAGGATAGTTTTCTATTTAAGGGGAAAAATAGCTGAAAAATATCTAGGAAAAATGGTTTTATGGTATAAATAAGTTTTTCAAAATAAAACCAAAAAAAAAAAAAAAAAATAGTCTAAGCTTAAGAGTAAATAATTCAGCTGAAAAATTATTGTTTGTAATAAAAATTAATTTGCCACAAATTTTTTGAGCACAGTTATCTTTAATTTTAAGAAGTTCTTGTAGTAACAAAACATATGTATTATGTAAATACACTTAAATTTTCACTGCCTGTTTTATATTAAAAATTATTGATCTGTATATTTTATTTTAAAATTTTATGTGTTAGGTAATAATAAAGAATTTTGTGAATTTTTCATTTTACATAGAATTTAAGGCTGAATCGCTTGCAAAGATTCAATTGCTATTTAAATTTGATAGGGTATTTTCTTATTTTATGCTTTTTTTTTAAAATAAAATATTTTAGTTTTTGTTTATTATTTTCTTTTTAAAAAATTATTTGCCTTAAAAATCTTCCAACTTTGGTTACTCTTTTTTGCTTTAATGTTTTCAATAAACTTTAACTTTCCTAATTAAATGTTTGAAATCGTTTCTTAAAAAACTAATTTTTAACTTAATCTCCTAATTGTGGAACTTAACTGTGTCTTAGTAATTCAGTGAGATTAATTTGATAAGTTATCTTTAAATGCAAAAGTTTCACTGTTTTATTTTCAGCTTTTTTGATATTTTTTAAGTTAATGCATTATGTTATGCATGATTCAGTTTTTAAAATTTTATTTTAGTTTTTTATAAAGAAGTGTTTGAAAGTCTTCAAAGGGGCATTGAAGAAAATATAAAAAGTGAAAATTTGATTTTAGAAATCAATTCCTCAAAGTAAGTATAAACTCTTTTGGTTTTAGGTTTTTTAATGTTTGCATTAAAATTGAATTTATAATTATAATTCTTACATTTGAGTTTGTAAAAATAGTTTTAACTGTGTATTTCTGTTTAGACATGCCTACAATGTTACAATGAAAGAAGTGACCACATTAGTAGTTTCAGCTCTGCTAAGGCTGCCAGTTGAAGATCAAAAAGACTCAATGACATCTCAGCAATATTTAAATGCCATGAAGACAAATTTAAACTTTTTTAAGCCTCTTATTTCAAATTACGTGAAAAGTGCGGAGTCTCAAAATGATTGTCTTGCATCGTTAGTTGTAAGTTCAAAATTTTCATTAATACTTATTTTGATTTTAATTATCTAATTTTTAATGTGAATAATGCTGGGTTTGTCGTTGTCCTTATATTCCTAATTTTTCTGACAAATTTTTTTTGTTCTTATTTATCTTGATATTCCTGATTTGTGTGTTTGCTCATTACATTTCATTTTTATGAATACAGTTGCGAATTAGAATCAATCGATTCAATAATCAATTAGAATAGTTAGATTTTATATATAATTTTTTTAATCATTTTATTTCAATTAACACTTGCCTAATGGCAAAATTTGATAATTTGAACTTAGGGGCCATCCTCTAATTATAACATGGTGCAGAATACTTTATAGTCTTACACACAGGACTTATAGTTTGGGAATTTGTCATTTTGTAAAAAATAAACCCAATTAAAAATTTTTCATTATCAACTTTTTATGGTGATGAATTTAGGGATCATAAATATACATATTTTTTTTGGGGAAATGCAGAGAAAATTCATCTAAGGTGGAGTTTTGTAGTTTTGCAATTATGTTCTGTCTCTTTCCTCTGATTTTAAAAACGATCAATTCCAATTTACTATACAGTAATAATATCACGGAGATCATTTATTAAATTACTTTTGTTTGAGGATGTTAAGTAGAAAATCTACTGTCTATGTTTCAAGATTATTGAAACTCTACTTCAAAATTGTTTGATTAAGGAAATCTTGAACTCAATTACAAATTTTAATTAAATATTGCCCGAGGGAATATTAACAAGTTTATTTTTTGCTCGAAACTGCAGAATTTTTTGTTCGTAAGCAGAATAATTCTGAAATTAAAAATAGTATATTTTATCATAGTTTCTTAAGTTTGTCGTTTACTCTTTTTAAAAGTAGTCCTGCTATGTATTTATAGATTTAATGTAATATGTCTAAACAAGGAAATAATGTAAGCATGTGGGTGAACACAGATTTATTGGATCATTTTAAAAGAGTAAGCAAAAACAATGTTCACACCAAAATCAACGAGCTTCGTCCTATATATTAAGGAATTTTAAAGGGACAGTTTTGTAAATCTTCCCTATCACATGGGATCTGAGAGGTAATTTAACAATTATAATAGTTCAGAATAATCATTTGAGGTTTCTAAAGGGATTTTTTATTTCTTTAAGGGTAAAAACTTATTGTTAGCTCTGCATTCTTTAATCCATTTTTTAAACAAGATGTGAATTATTATATCAATGGGTTTCATTCTGAATAATGAATTAAGAAATAGAATTTTGAAAAAATAATACAAAAAAGATTAGTTAAAGTTCCAAATATGTATTGATATTTTCTTTAGGACACTACAACCTGAATAATGTGTTAAAGTCATTATTTTGTACCTGTCTAAAAAAGGGCTAGTTTTTTTGAAAAATCTATTAAAGAAAAACGAAACATGTATGTTTTGCCATGTTCTGCTTATGAAAGCTTGTTGCGTATTCTCACATAATTTCAAAATTAATTGAAAAGGTTATCAATAGATGGTACTGCTTATTAGCTGCTCTTCAGACATTTCAAATTGAAATTTTTGCACAGATGAGATATCTGTTAATTTTGTCTTCAGACTATGCCAAGTTCTTGCTGTAAATAATGGTAAGTTTGAAAACAGTATTAGTTAGTTTTTTTTATCAATAACAATTATGCAAGTTTTTTCCCTTCATATTTTTTAATAAAATATTGATTAATCACTGTCTGCTGACAATCTTTGTAACTAATTGTAAAATTTGTTAAGAATAAAGTTTCTGATTTTCCTAGCAAAGAATGAAGCAAAATTGTACATTTCTATTTCTTTTTGCTTTTATTTAATTGATTTTTAAAATCATTTGTCATTTTTGTGACACTCAGTAGTTTATAATTATGCTCCTTCTAACTAAAATATATATATTTTTTATAGAAATCTTTTTCTAATTTAGTTTCTGTGACAGTTTTTATTTATAATGAATTTTGCTTATGGTTTAGAATTTAAGGTGATAGTATTTTTATTTTTCATTTATTTCTTTTTAAGTATTCCTTAGATTTAAACTATCTTTTTTATTTAACTTTGCATACGCTATATACTTTGGTTTTACAGGGTGGCCACCCACCTGGAAAACCTGGAATTATCAGGGAATTTTGTTATACTGGTAAAAACCTGGAAATATCAGGGAAATTTGAATAAAAACCTGAAAAAATCAGGGAATTTTAAAGAAGACCTGGAAATTTTTTCTTTGATAATTTTTTTGATTTCACTAATTTAAATAATTTACTAATTTTCTTAATTTAAATTATTTCATCCCTTTTTTTAAACGGAAATGTATTGCCAAGCAGTTGAAATATCATCAACTTAAGCAATACTTTGCTTGCATCAAAATTTGCTCCATTACAGCTCTGTTAAATTAGAATGCCACATAAAATTCTCTCATTGTTGCTAAACGAATATAGAAACCTTTGACCGCTATGGGACTGTGCAATTTAGGAAAGATTCTGGTGGAGGTGGAAAAAGGGATTAGGATATTAGCTTCTGTTTTCAAATTCTGTCCTTGGGCTTCAGCCCAATTATGGCTCCATTTATTTCTCAATTTTCTGATGCTTTAGTGGTAATTTTGATAAAATGTTTTTGTATTTTCAACTTTATAAATTCTCCAAAAGTTATTTGGTTATAATTTAATAATAATAGATTTTATATTGCACTCTTTTTCTGAAAGCTTTTCTACTCCCATTCAAAGAAATCTGTAAATTATTTTTTAGATTTTATATTGCACTCTTTTTCTGAAAGCTTTTCTACTCCCATTCAAAGAAATCTGTAAATTATTTTTTCTCAGCAAACCAACCCATCGCACATTTTTTTACAATCGCTAACAGCAATGTTTGTCGACAAATCGTTACAATTGTTGCAGTAATGCAAATTTTTTTTTAATTTCATTTTAACCTTTTATAACATATTTTAATTTAAGAAAAAAAGTTTTTTTTAAGAACCAATTATATATTAATATTTAATTTTACTCTTTTGTTGGTCAATATATGATTTTTGATTCAAAATTTTGTGCCAAAACATTAAAATATCTTGCCAAATTGTCAAAAATTATTTTTTTAAAAATAATATGTTAAAAAAAATAATAACATTGTGAATAAAATATTTTATAATATAGACACTTTTCTTGTACACATCCTAGACTTTATAAGAAAAAAGAAACAAAAACCTGGAAATTTTAAGATTTTTGTCTGGAAAACTTGGAAAAATCAGGGAAATTTGAAACCTGATTTGAGTGGCCACCCTGTTTTAAAATTAAATGCAAGACAATTGTTTTAGATTTTCCTAGCTTTATTATGTTACTTTTCAAATATAATATTTCTGATATAATGCCATGATTATTTCATATTTATAATATTAATTTTAATATTAATTTTTCACTGGCTGTTGGTGTTAAGCATTTACTCATTAAAGATGTATAAGGGAGCGTTTTCTTATCATTAATTACTAATACCCCAGAGAAATCATTTATTTTAAGAATTAGTAGATATGATTAAGTAATTTATGATTCAAAGTTGTTGAAAAAAAAATTATCACAAAAAATTTTGTGAAGATTCAGAATTTCACACAAAAATGTTTTTAAAAAAAATTTAGCTTTATTTGTTAAATTTACTGAGGAAATTTTTTTTAATTCAAAAAAACTTGTTACCTTGATGTTGAGATATTTTACATCTTTTAAAATATGGAAATTTCTGCATGTAAAATATAGATTTTATAGATAACTTAAATGAGAGATTTTAAATTTCATAAGCAACTTTAAAAGAAAGTTTCTGAAATGCATTTTTACATGCTTTGTTATTCAGTATTTATTTATTGCAGTCTAGATTGTGTAACAGGGTTTTTATTAGTTGAATTTTGAATAGGAAATCCTTCAAGTATTCACTGTTACATAAAATTTTTCAAAAACATATTGCGTTTTGGTTTAACTTTTTAAAATCAGGGAACAGCTGACAAGTGGCTTAAAAATGAGAATAATTAGAGAGATTATTAGAAAAAGCTTTTCAAATTATAAAAACCTGACTCAGAATAAACTAATACCTTTTACATTTTTGAACTATTTATATTTTTAAAATTACCACTTGCATTAAAATATTTACATTTTCCCCCTTACCTTTTATAAAATAACTTTAAAAAAGATAATTGCTTATAAGCAATTTAGCATGATTTCTTTCATATCACTATTAATGAAATCATTTCAAAATGCACTATACATAACTCACCTTTTTTTGAACAATTGGGTTATGCTTTGTTATAATTTTTAAATTTGAAAAAAATTGAAATTTTTTAATTACAAGTTATTTCCAAATTGCCAAAAGCGTCTAAGAACTATATTTATGGTGTTCCATTATAGAAATGAATTATGCTGTATTTATTTTTCTTATTTTTATAATTCCAGGAGTTTACTGAAAAATATAAACACTTAGCTCCTGCTGCTGTTAAAGTGATGCATTTTTGGTATGATCAAGATATACTTTCTGAACCTGTTATTGTGAAGTGGTACGATAGTCTTACTCCTGAACAAGAAGCTATAAAAATACCAGTGAGTATTATCATTTTTTAATATTCATAGACTTGCTTTACGTTACACATTTTTGGTTTTCTTTCTTTAAAATTCTTAACTTTAGATTAAGAATTTTTCCAAGAATAGATAAGCTGATCTTGAGAGGTGGAATTACACTGATATTTTATGGATTCCAAAAATGTTACTCTCTAAATCCGGGATTCGCTTGTTTAAAGCGAGCTGTGCTCCGATAGACTTAATATTGTACCAACCAAGTGCTTTTGATTTCTTTCTTAAATCCACGATCTTGTTAAATCCGGGATCATTATAAGTCAGTTTGATTTTCTTTAGATGCTTCAATTTCATTTAGTTTATATCAAGACAAGTTTAAAAATTACGACTTTGCACAACCTCAAATGGAGTGTATTTTTCGAAAGTGTCAAAAATGAAGTCAGAGAAACCTAACTAGCAGTGGTTGCTATTAGGGCTGTGGTGTCATTAGTTGAAATGGTCAATTGAAACTCTGAACATTTCTGAGAGTTCTATTTCGACTTATACAGATTTTTCACTTAAACCCTCATAAAATATTATTTAATAATTCACAGCACTGAGCATTTTCATTCAGGGTAACATTACAATATCAAGACAAGCTAATTATGTATTTTATAAAGTTGAATGAAATTTCGAAATAAGTTGTTAATAAAAATTATTTTCTGAAATAGTTTTTCCACAGCATTGTTCTATCTGAAGCTTGATTTGTTGAGCTTGTTAGGAAACTATGGAGTAAATTTTTTTTTATTATTTATTTCGGAAAGAATAAAGTTGTATAATGGGGTAAAGTGGATAAATAGCTGATATATCCGAATTAGGTGCTGAATTTATTTAAAGAATTATGTTTAAATTTTGAAGCATTCTTTAATATTATATTAAACTTGTTTAAAATTCTAGGCTAGTGCTTTTATTCAGTGGCTGAAAACAGCAGATGAAGAATCAGATGAAGACTAGATGATATCTTTGAATAACCGTTTTTGCATAAAGCTTGAATGAAAATGAACTGACTGCCTATTTAATTAATAAAGTATGCTGATTTCTTTTTGTGTACTCTGTTAATGAAGTTTTCTTTTATTTTTTAAATAAGCCTACATATTATTTGTTTGGTTAAAGGAAGAAATATAAAATCGCTGTTGTAAGTTCGACAAATCTTTTTACTTTGAGAAAGAATTTCTAAAAGGTAGGAGGAAAAATATTAATGTAAATTAGAGAAAATGTATATTATAGCTAATGTATACCTATACAGTGTTTCTCCATGTTATTTCACTGGCAAATTTGTGCTTAACAACCAGATTTCTGTTGTATGTCCTGTACCTTTTATGAACTTTTATTAAAAAAAATGTATAACTTTATTTGAAAGATGCCTTTTGTCATGAATTTGTATAACTTTTAAAACATATTTATCTCATTTTTTTTAAACTGCTCATTAATTATCAATCTTTTTTTAAAAATGTTCTATATAAACTAGAAAGTGTGGACAAAAATCAATTTGTTGAAGATAAATTATGGATTCATTTTCACTTGGAATGTTCAATGGGTCAATTCAAATAAAGTATAGCACTTTATATATCCTTGTGTGCTCACTATTATGCATTTATCAAAGTGCAATTAGAATGTTGAAGCACATTGTGCAGTAATGAATAAATGCTCCAAATTTTCTTGTAATTTTGATCCACTAAATCTTCTGAGTGAAAAGCAGCAGTGAAAAATTATTTAGTGTTAATGAAAATAGACTCCTTCAGTAACTAATATTTAACTTTAAAATAGATGTTTAAAAATATTTTTTTAAAATTAAGACAGATGCAATAGTATTAAATTATATTTTTTTAAAATGAAGACAAATGCTATAGTATTAAATTATCTTTTTCTTTTTTAATAATGTAATTTATTGAATATATCTGCAAATGTACTATTCCTGGTAAAATTTTAAAAAAATTATCACAATCGCTGATTAAAATGATAATTTTTTGAATATCATAGAAGTTTATTTGTTAATAACACTATTTTTATTCCACGATAATGTTTATCATTAGCTTTTAGATTAATATATTTTCATTTACATGAAATGATTTTGTACTGCTGCTTTTCAAAAATTTTCAGTTATTGAACGAATTATTGAAAAAAATGTGTCATATTTTCAGTTTGCTCTTTAATTTGTTTTTTAAACATATATTATATTTTAAACATATTATTTATATTTTGAACAATACTTATATTTTGAACTTGACTATTTTTTGTTTTTTAAATTGTGTTGTTTGTTTATACACGAAAATATTTACATGTATCTATGCACAATACTATTCAACATTTCTATGTGATAATGAAATAAAAATGTTTTATTCAAATTGTTTTCATTGATAAAACTTAGGAACGTAAAAAACAAACGTAAAAAACAAAACGTAAAAACGTGTTTTCTTTGAATAGACATAGTTTTTCTCAAATAGGTTTGTATTCTTGAACCTAAAAATACGAGGGGTTGCCATAATGCGGAAAATATGATCCCAATAGTTTGGTCAGGAGAGCAAATAAAGTTAGGACCCCTTGATGTCAGTTGCCAAGTAACATTGAAAACTCTTTGCTTACGAGTATAAAATTTGTTTGTTCAATGATAATTTCAAGCAAAATATAATTTTTAGTGATTATTTTTCGCTTATTTCATGATATCTCGAGAACTTTTTAAGCGAATTGAAAACTCTTTGCACAAATGTAAACAATTTGTTTATTCAATGATAATTTCAAGGAAAATATAATTTTTAATGATTATTTATTATTTACGATTTAATTTAATAAAAGTGAAAGAAATCTTGAATCAGTTCAAACATCTGACGGTTCTCTTGTCCTGATTGGGACCATGTATTGAGGGTCAAGAATGCGAATCTGTAGAAAAGAAAGGCATCTTTATTCAGAGAAAAGAAATTTTTGCAATTGTTTTCGTAATTTAAAGTATCATGTGTATTTAATTAATAATTAGCATATTTGCGGTCACCCCTGTGTACCTTTAAGTTTTAGTTTTAGTGTATGAAAATCCGATAATTTGTTCAAAAGTTATTCAGGGTATTCTCTTTCTTTTTTTCACTTTGAGCATTACAGAAAGATTGCAATGTATGTCAACAGATGTGTAGACATCTCTGTATGCTTTTGGCGTTTTTGGTTTAAAAATTCTTGAAATTAGAAGAGTGGAGATAAAGAAATTTTCCATAAGTTTAAATTCAAATTTTATGAACTAGTGGATGTTGTGTTAGCAGAGTAGGCAAAATATAGCTTCACTAGCATTGACTCAGATGCTGGAGAGTTTTAAATATGAAAATGTTCATCGAGATATGCTCCAGATTATAAATTTTGTGCTATTTTATCAGTGATCATCTCTTCCCATGAGAGAAGCTTTAGCTGTCAAAATATACTGAAGACTGCTTAAAATAACTCCGTTGTTGTTGTTTCTAATGCCACATGTCGATATCAGCAAGCTTGCTCGGTGAAACCAAGCAAATTTAAGGCAGAGGGTGCGTTTCTTGTTTTCACTGGGGCCATCTGTGGACAAGAATACGATTTCAGCTACACTGCTCATTTGAAGGGCGGGCTTATTCATATATCCATCCACAGATCATAATTTTGGTTTGAACCAAAAAACGATCAATCTCTTTAGTTTCCCCAGAGGTTTGTTATGAGAACATGGAAAACTTTGTGATCCGGCAGATTTAACGTGCACCAGTCACCATTTACTACGTGGGGAGTCTTCGGCCGGCGGAGATTAAACTCACGACCTCTTGGAAATGGGGTCCAAGATATAGGGCATAAATTTTAGTCTGACCTTGTACTTTAGAACTGAAATTTCATGCCCTGGTCTAGATTTTTGATGCTAATGGAAAATTGTATTGGGTATTTCTAAAAATTCTTTCTTCTTTTAAAAAACCCTTTTACGAAAATTAAATCATCTTAGAGAGTCATACAGAAATATTAATATAAACAAATTAACATGATTTGTTAAAAACATAAAATTATGCTCAAATTGCAGTTCTTGAATAATAATTTGTTAAGTGCGCAAAAAAGTGAACATCCCAAATAACTTTTGATCAAATAATTAGATTTTCTCAATGTTTTGAGGTCCTAACCACAAGTTACGAAATCTGACACAAAAAGTTACTTGCACACAATTATAAAATCCGCTTATCCAACAATGAAGATACACTATCGCTGGAATCCATTTAACTCAAGAAATCGTGGATACCCCAAATTAAGCTTACCTGCCAAAAATTAACCGCATTTTACAGTACGTTCCAGTGTCTAATTTCATAAAAATGTCCTCTGCACTAATTGTCATACGTATGGTTAGGCCGTCGTCTTTGGGTATTATTAAGGAAAAGTCCGAAAATTAGGCCAAACATTATTTAGGGTATTTTTTTTAAATTTTGTACACTGCACAAATGTATTAAATATCATGGAAACAGCAGGATCTTTATGGAATATTAATAGCAATAGTTTTAGAAATCGTCAATAACACTGACTATTGATTTTAATACTAAGCTGTCAAAAAGAGAATTAAAGGGACATTAGGGATATGTTGTCAAAAAAAGTGCATTATTTTTAAATATGTCAGGATTCTTAAAAATAGCAGAATTTTGAGTAGGCAGGAAGATATTGTAACTTTCAGTCACTCATGCATAACATAATAATCCTTCAGGATTACACACAATGGTGAAATGATGTTCATTTTTCCCTTTGCTGCATTGATGCCAGAAACGAATATGAATGATTTTTATTTTACCCTTTTTATATCACTTGCACAGTAAAATAAATAAAATAAAAAAATGCATTAAAACAATAAAAAAATGTACTTTCTCTTTTCTAAAAAAGGAAACGAAAATGGTACAAAAAAAAATGTCGCAACAGTGGGTATATTGTTATAAACATACATTTTTGTATCACTGATAGTAGTATTTTGAAAGTGAATTGGAAAAATTGTCTTTATAAGTCGTACACGTTACTGTTGTTGCTTACCTGTGAATGATCTGCAAAAATCATTAAACAGGGAAAAAAACTCAATTTAATTTCTCCCCTTGATTTAATTACAATTTTTAATTATTACAATAAAATGTTTTAACCAAGTTATAACCGTTTTCAACATCGCAGAGATTATTAAAGTTTAAATAAGGTTAAGATAGTTCAGAAGTTGAATATTCCTAAAGATTTTGTTAGTAAAGTTGCATAGGGAAAAAGAGTACCACAAGTTTATCAAGGAAATGAAGCTATTTTGCTGAAAAATAATAATTATGAACAGATCTTCGACGATTATGAGGACAACTGTAAATAAATTTTCCGTATCGTAGTTAAATTTGTAAGTCAATTTTAATGATTACAATTTATGTTTTTTAATTTTAATTTTTCTAATAACTAAATAATAATTTTTCAAATTTTAGAATATGTTTCCTTCCCATTAAAATTTAAATAATTTACTGGCTTAAATTTTAATAAGATTCCATTAGGAGTAATTGAGAAATAATATAAACTTTGATATGAATCCGTTAGAAATTATTGAGAAATAATATAAATTATGATAAGAACCTGCTATAAAAAATGTGTTGAAATATTGTAAAATATGATAGGAATCCATTGGAAAATATTGAGAAATGATATAAATTATGATAGGAACCCATCAGAAATTATCGAGAAATAATATAAATTATGATAAAAACCTGTTATAAAATGTGTTGAAATAATGTAAACTATGACAGGAATCCATTGGAAAATATTGAGAAATGATATAAATTATGATAGGAACCCATCAGAAATTATTGAGAAATAATGTAAATTATGATAAGAACCTGTTATAAAATGTGTTGAAATAATGTAAAATGTGATAGGAATCCATTGGAAAATATTGAGAAATGATATAAATTATGATAGGAACCCATCAGAAATTATTGAGAAATAATATAAATTATGATAAGAACCTGTTATAAAATGTGTTGAAATAATGTAAAATGTGATAGGAATCCATTGGAAAATATTGAGAAATAATATAAATTATGATAGGAACCCAGCAGAAATTATTGAGAAATAATATAAATTATGATA